AGGAACAGGGACTATGTCCCTGAACTTTCTCAGAAACAAATACTGCATGACTAAAAACAAGCACCTAGTAGCCCAGTAGGCTGTCCTGTCCAGGAGATACTATGGTTCTGGAAAACCACTTGCTTGAATCCTCCTTAACAATTACATTATCGGTTCATGTTTTGAAGAATACCAACATTGGCCAAGTGCTTCTCAAGAGGTGCTTTCTCTCTTGATGGGTGGGATTTTGCATCGAGGATTAGTGCACTGACTCTACTACCATGGAAGTCAGACGTAATGAGAGAAAATCCCTCAGACTGTCACCACTGCGCCACCTCCTCCAGGGAAAGAAAGAGGGAAAGTAGAGCCAGGAAGAGCATCTTTGGGAGGTCAAGTGAATAAAGAATGAATTCTAGCATTTGAAAGAAAAAATTGTGCCCACTGTGCAAGGAAAAGGAAGGTGTATGCCCAGTGGAAGCAAGGTCAAGTGATATGGGAAGAATACAAATATGCTGCTTGCTGCTGTAGGGAAAAAGTTCGTGTGGCCAAAGCTCAGCTGGAGTTGGAGCCAGCCAGAAATGTGAGGGACAATAAAAAGAGTTTTTTCAAATATATTAATGGCAATAGGCAGTATAGAAATATCATCAGCCCATTACAGGGTGAGGAGGGTCACCTCAGAAACATGGACAGAGACAAGGCAGAGGTGTTTAATGCTTTCTTTGCCTCTGTCTTCAACATGGCTGATAGACCAAGGGGGTCTCAGTGCCCTGAACTGGAAGACCATGACTGCGAGAATGATCAACTCCCAGTCGATCTTGAAATTGTGCAAGATCTGCTGCTCAAGCTGAATCCTTATAGATCTATGGGGCCTGATAGGATTCAACCCAGAATCCTCAAAGAGCTGCTGATGTCACCACAAAACCTCTCTCAATGATTTTTGAGTGGTCTTGGGAAACCGGAGAGGTCCCAGCTGACAGGAAGCTGGTGAATGTTGTCCCAGTTTTAAAGAAGGGCAAGGAGGACCCCAGAAACGACAGGCCTGTCAGTCTCACTTCAGTGCCCAGTAAAATTATGGAAAAGTATTGAGAAACACATGGAGGACAATGCAGCCATTGGTCACAGCCAGCACAGCTACATGAGGGGGAATTTGTGGTTCTCGAATCTGATTTCCTTCTATGACAGGCTAACTCACCTAGTTGATCTAGGAAAGCCAGTAGATGTAATCCTTTTGGACTTCAGCAAATCTTTTGATACTGTCTCTCACAGCATCCTTCTGGACAAAATGTCCAGCATACAGCTGAATAACCATGTTACATGATGGATGAGCAACTGGTTCACAGGTCAGGCACAAAGAGTTACAGCGAAAGGGGCAACACCAGGCTGGTGTCCAGTCACTAGTGGGGTTCTGCAGGGCTCCATCCTCAGCCCAATGCTCTTCAACATTTTCATTAACAATCTGGACGCAGGACTCAAAAGCATATTAAGTTTGCTAACAACACTAAATTGGGAGGAGCTGTCAACTCCCTCAAAGGCAGAGAGACCCTGAAGAAAGACCTTGAAAAATCAGAGACATGGGCAATGACCAACTGTATGACGTTTAACAAGGCCAAGTAACAGATTCTGCACCTGGGATGGGGCAACCCGGGATGTTCATACAGATTGGGGAATGAGATTCTAGGAAGGGACCTGGGGGCCCCGGTCCACGGTGAGTTGAATTTGAGTCAGCAGTGCCCTGGCAGCCAGGAAGGACAACTGTGTCCTGGGGGGCATCAGGCAAAGCATCACCAGCTTGTCGAGGGAGGGGATTGTCCCGCTCTGCTCTGCACTGGGGTGGCCTCACCTTGAATATTGTGTGCAGTTTTGGGCACCACAATATAAGAAAGATATTAAGCTCTTAGAGAGCATCCAAAGGAGGGTAATGAGGATGGTGAAGGGCCTTGAGGAGAAGCTGTATGAGGTCACCTGGTCTGTTCAATGTGGAGAAGAGGAGACTGAGGGGACACCTCATTGCAATCTTCACCATACTCATGAGAGGACATGAAGGGGCAAGTACTGATCTCTTCACTCTTGTGACCAATGATAGGACTCAAAGCAACAGCATGAAGTTGAGACAGTGGAGGTTTAAGTTGTATATTAGGAAAAGGTATTTTACCCAGGGACTGGTTGGGCACTGGAACAGGCTCCCCAGGGAAGTGGTCACATCACCAAGCCTGACAGAGTCCAAGGAGCATTTGGACAATGCTCTCAGGCACATGGTTGTCCTGTGCAGGGCCAGGAGTCGAACTTGATGATCCCGATGGGTCCCTTTCAATTCAGCATATTCAATAATTCTATGAAAACACAGGGTATTCCTTGTATAGTATTGATTCTGTAAGGTTACAAATTTTGAAAAGCAGGAAAAACTTGGTTTTGCACTACTTTTCACTAAAGTCTCTGGAACAACTGTGTGCTTTCAGTAATTTTTCAGGGCAAAATTTTACTTCAAAACCATGACTACATATAATCATGGGTTTCTGCGTTGTTTGTTTGCTTGTTTTAATACAGTAATATGAGAATTTTTAAATGTGATTAATAATAATGGCCAGTCTTCGCGAGCGAAGATTTGGGAAAGGTCATTAACCCTTCGAGCCTGCGCAGTGGATTTTTTAGGTGAGACACAGCGTGCGCTGAACTGAGCCCACCCTTTAATCCTGAGGTTCATCTGCCGGGGCCGAGCAAGCTCGGACAGTGGCAGTGAGGGTCTCAGGACGTAGGTTTGTTTAGAGTGACCTTCTCTTAGATGGATTGCCTTACAGGGCTGACGAGCTCCATCTGCCCGGGGGGCTGGGAATCGAACCCGGGTCGCAGCAGTGAAAATCCTGCACCCTAACCACTAGACCACCAGGGGCCCCCTAAATGTGATTACTGACTTAAGATTTTCATATTAAGCTTCCTTAAAAAATGCTGATTTTCAAAGCACTCCTGGTAGAACCACCTTATGATGACTGAAATGGCATCTCAAGAACTGAGGCACCCTTATCCACAGTTCAGTTCTGAAAGTGGGTATAAAACAATTATAAAGGACCATACATGCATACAATTATAGTAATTTGATCAATACAGTGCTGCTACAGGTAGGGTGACTCTTGATGCCTTCCTGGAAACTGCATGTCTACCTGAAAGACTTTTGTGAGTTTAAGAAAAGAGAATTTATCTGAGAAAAGGACACAGATACCAGCAAGAGGAAAATACTTACAGGATATTGTGGACATATCCCATTTCATTCATGGACTTCACAGACCTATCATGCTTCTACTTCAAATTACTTTGCTTTTAATAATATATGCTAACACTTACTTTAAGGTTGTTTTTCTTCACTGTAGCTTTAGTTTCTCTGCCTAATTAAAAAAGAGTGAGCCCATGGCTTCACACTTAAGCAAGGTGCTGCACCTGATAAATCCAGTCAGGAAGAGAGGAAAACTCTGCTAAGCAGGTTATAATTTTAAAAACTTGAACACAACTTTTCATACCCTTGTGATCTGTTACTTCTCAAACAAAATCAGGAAAAACTACATGTAATATCTGAATGTTCTTTAGGAAAACTGCTCTCTTTTTCCCCCACCAGAGGAATGTTCTTAATCCTTTTTAGCTGACTTTGTGCATCATGAAGTAGCACAGGGCCCAGTTCCTGCCCTTTACCCTCGGCCAACTCCACCTCTCATGTAACTCCAAAGCGATCCAGGAAATTTGCGAATAGTTTTGTATTTTGCACAACCTAGTATTTTTGAAGAAAAGGAGAACTCATTACAGACCAGCATAAGAAGCAGAACAGAAAAGAACTTCTAAGGGCAGCAGCAGAAAGTACATTTCTATGCATGGTTTTTAGAAGCAAGTCCAGAAGATGCCTTTTCTACCTTCCTTTGACACACTTAACCTCCTCCCTCAGAGTCCAGAGGACTACCACTGTGCCCACTACTCATAGGAACAGGAGTGTTATCATTATAATTTTACCTCTAATAAATAAATTTCTAACAAAACAGGATGGCTTCCTCTTCTCTTGCTCTAAAGATGGCAACCAAAAAGTGAGAAACCTTGTGCTGTGGCAGTAAAGCCAGGAGGACCAATTTGAATGCACATGGGTAGTAATGCTACAGAAGTAAGATGGTACAAATATCACATAGCAATTTTTCTGACAGCTCTCTACTTTAACTGGCAGAAAATCAATAACATTAAGACTGAGGGTCACAGCCTTTGGAAAGAGTTACATCAATGCAAAAACAGAACAGACAAAGCCAAAATAGATTATAACCACAGATATCCCAAAGGACAAATGAAATCAGGGGTTATGGTGTTTTTAAAACACAAAAAACCCTTATTCTCTCAATCATTCCCCAAATGTCTTGTCTCCTAGTTTTTCCACAGTTTTCTAAATTAAGAGGTGAAGATTGCAGTCAGAATGCTACTATATTTCACTCAAAAACATAAAGTCTCTTAGCAAAAAGGGTTCAACATTCTCCTATTTGCAGGCATACTTCTGGAAAATTGGTGCCATACTTACTGCTCAAAGCTAAGCTTGCTGGTGCAAGCAGCAAGCTTTTACTCACAAAGAGCAATCACAGAAGACAGAGTGCTCCCTGTCCTAACAGTCACAGCTGAAACTGGGCACAAAGAGCAGCCAGCATGACAGCAAAAGAATCATGGCAGTAAAAGGTTTCTACTCCTGCCCCAAAATCCCTGTGCAGGTAAGCTCTTTAAGGATTACCTTTCATTTCTACAATGCACTAGTGGAATGCACTAAAAGCTCAAGGAACTTGTATGCCTGTGCCAGCTGTGACTCAGATAAGCCCATCCTAACACAGGAAGACACTGGCCATCCCTTAAAAGCAAAGGACACTGACTACCCCCCACCCCAAATAAGCAATTGGCTCTAGAGTGCCAACTTCTCAACACACCTAGAATAACCACAGAGGCTGAAGGACACAGCCCATCTGACCGAGCACTGCTGGTGTAGCTTTATTTAAATTCTATTCATTGTTTCTCACCTGTCTTTTTGGCAAGTCATGATATTGTAGTATGAGCCTGGTGTTGACGCTGTGACTCCACGTGTTGCCAAGGGCTGCTGTCACACAACCAGAATCCTTCTTCCCACTTACAGAAGCCCCTGAAGATAAAAATGAAAGAAACTGCATCAGGACTGTGCCACAAAGAAGGGTTCAGCATGGAAACTCTAATCAGTCATCTCAGATCATTCCCTAAGCTAGGTAATCACAAGTGGTACTTAACAGATCACACTCCTACATTAATTTCCTACCTTTCTTGTTTATTTATAACGCCACAGTTTGAGTTCTCCATCTCACCCTTTGATACCTAGACAAAGTGCCAAGAATTAAAGAGCTGTTGCAAAGTAGTACCTACCTTCTTGGAGAGACCAGTACATTTTCTAAATATCTGGAGGTGCACCATGCATGGGGGACACTTGTCTTTTCCTCTTTAGATATTCTATCCCCAAGCAAGCTAGCTTTCTATGAGCACAGAGGAGAGGGAAGCAGGCTAGCAGAGTCACAGTGTATACTGACATAACAAAAAGGGAAGCTAAAGGAGCAGAATGTGCTGCCACAATACCCTGACATAAAAATCAGAATATTGATTCATGCCATCAGGCATCCTACACATTTTCTACGATTTGCAAAGAAGGGAGCCCCTTAGCTGCAACTACCATTCTGGTGTCTCTGAAATCATATGAATTTTAGATAACCTTAAAGGAAAATGCACTTTGCTGCAATCAGCAATGACAACATAAAGAAGCATTTCCAATAATGCCACCTGATGCAGCTTGCTGAAATGCCATTGCACCTGAGCTTTCTCATACCACAACCAGAGATCCATACATACACACATACACATATGCAGGCAGGTAGGATGCCTAAGACCTTCATCTTATCACAAATTCTATGTAAGACGAACAGATAGATGGGTGACTTGTTTGTACTTCAAATGACACTTCAAGAATAGTGCAAGTCAGATAAACCCAAGAAATTCAGAAACAAAATCCTAGTTATGTGGGTATAAATGATCATGTGCAAGTTGAAAATTGAACTGTTTGAGGCAGACAGTCCATACTGTTAAAAAGCCAAGAGTGAGTAAGAGACAGTTAGATTTCAAGTCAGGTAACTTTCTGTCATCTATCGAGCAACAAACAAAATTGCTTTCCCAGGACAGTAGTGAAATCCTTGTTAACTAAACCAATGAAAGTTAGACCAGATACTTTCTCTGCAATAAAGCAGCCTTATGTTTCTGTCAAAATTATCAGCAATGCAACAGTTAATGTAGAAATCTAAATTATAAGTATTAGGTTTTGGAAGCAAAACTTACTGAGATGACAAAGTCATCTTGCAGCCCAGCAGAGCTTCTGGAAGATTGAGGTTTAAAACTCTTCATTACTTTTACATTTGCAAGGTTGTGGGGTTTATTACTCGCTCCCCGCCTCTCCCCCAACTGAACTGTTCAGACCAGAATCATAATTTCTTCATCCACTAAAGCTTTTATTTTGGAAAAACATCCAGTAAAGAATAAGACCAAAAGTGTTGACATGCAGTAATAATAATTATTTATATCACTGCTGGTAGCTTGCAAGCAATGAGAAGGACACTTTATTAGACTGCATTAGGCAGAGGAGAGCAGCAGGCTGGAGAGAGGGGCCTGGAATGATTGCAGTGCACTACAGGATTTAGCTGAAGACCTCAAACCTTCCCCCCTGCACCAAGTAATAAAAGGTTCAATTAATATCAACTGGATTTGGATTAGGTCTTTAAATTAAAGGTCTACAAAAGAAATGAGTGAAGCACCTGGTTCAAGACAATAGTTTGAAAAGAGACTGGACTCTGTACTTGCCTGAATTACCTCCCACATCACGGGAACTCACTCCGATGTGCACAATACTTGCATCTCCAGAACATCTGTTCTAGTTTGAAAATGGGCTATACTTGTGCCATCCAGCAAGGATGGCTGCTTCTCTTTACTTAAAACAAATATCTTGATAAGCAGCAAACTTCCACCTGAATAACTCATCAGAGGAGCACCTAACTGGAAGTTTCAGTGTTAAGGAATGCTATTCTGTTAATTAGTGTAACCCATCTTTACTGGGAAGGTGGATGTGCTAACAAGAATAATTACTCGTCATCTACGTTTTGTATTTAATTTGCCAGCTGGAGGAGGAAACACAAGTGTTAAAGCAAGGGGCTAGAAGGTCTGTATTTCATTCCCTTAAAATGACTCAAAGTGATTTACTTAATTAAGTTCATTAAGTTCTACAAATTTTTGGGTTTGTGCTAACACTACAAAAGTGAAATACTATTATTGTACAAACAGGATAATGGAGAGTATAAGACAGTGGAGCAGCTTTAAAGTCTTGCAATCCTCTCGTGGAATAAGCTGCAGTCAACACAGTCCTTCTTTCCCACCTGTTAGAAATGGGTAGGAATTACTAAATTCAAGTGAGAGAACTAAGCGTGAGTTCTGGTGGGTGTGGAGGTGTTTTCCTCACAGCTGATGTAACTGCACCCCTGTAAGCCACCACTCCACACTATCAAGAAGCAATTCACCCACCCTTGCTTGCAGGCTCCTGACTACAAAGAGCCCAGACATTCCAGAAGTAGCTGGTGTTGGCATAAAACAGCCACAAAATTCATACCCAAACTTCCCTCAAATCATGTATCTCTGCTATTAGGTAACAGAGGGAGTAACAGCAACCCTGAGCCAGGCATTTATGCAGTTAAATGTCTGGAACCTGCTGCTACTACACTGTGGAGACATCACTCCATAGCAATTCCTAATTCTGCATTCCTTCCAGGCCTAAAGCCTATCCCAAAATGAAGAGATATGCTATATGTATAAGGGTTGTGGCAGAACAAGCTAATTGCTGTAATTTATTTTATTATATGGGAGGAAGTGTGCTGTACCATACTGTGTCAGCCCCTATCTAAAGAGGGCAAATCCTCTTCTGTGAAGTTATTAAAATTTATGACTTTGGTGCAAAGTAGTTAATAAACCTGGAACAAATTTACAGCAGAGACTTTTTACAGGATGGAAAGAAACGCCTCACTGGAAAGGTTTCCATTTTATAAGGGATCCTCCTGTGAACTGATGCATTAGGTGGATAGAGAGGCAAAACAAGAAGTGAAGTAAACCAAGGAGGAAGCAGTGCCAGCTTTGCTAAGAAGTTCAAGGGCAGCGACAACACATGCTGCATTCCTTCTTCTTGCTCTAAACACAAAAAGATAGTAAATGTCTCAGAGGAAGGAAAGAGGATATGTTAAGAAAACAGATTTATGTTGAAACATGGCCTTAAAAAAACCTTGGACTTATCTTTTCTGTTATTTCAACCACTACTTAGTCATTAATGAAGTGGACAAAGGAAGTAGATAGATAACACTGTTCAGAGAAAGTGATATTTTTCATCACACACTGCCTTGTGCTTCCAAACCATGATATTTTCATATTTAGAAATGGGAGTATCGGACCAACATTGGCCCAAGAAGAAAACAGGCTTGTAAGACTTTGATCTCTGCTCAGAGGTCCCCAAACTCTCCAACCTGAAATACTTCACAGTGGCACGGAGCAACAGCTCTGAGCTGTGACATGAAGGCGCTTATCCATGTTGTGGGGTGGATGCTTCCACAGAGCCTGCAATGTGCAATGTGCAATCAGCTGACAGGCAGTAGTTACAGTCTCTCCAGTCTGCTTAAAGCATGGTTCTTACTCCAGTCACTACTGGTATGATGGTTTCTGTTCAGGTCAGAGGTGATACAGGGAGTACAGGGACCAGGGAAAGGAAGAAAAAAGGTCTGACATGCAGATGAGGGAAAGCTGGCAGATCTCAGCTTATGGATGCAGTATGTGGGAAAAGGGAGTAGGTGTCCAGAAGCACAGAGATGGGATCCTAGCACGGAGAGGTGTAGGTGCGTGCTAGAAGGCTGTCAGAAGACCTCTGAACAACTCCCTGTTTTATGTATTCTGGTTCACCTCAAGGAAAATGGATGATTGCAATTCCTGTAAACACCCCCTGCTTCCTCACACAAAAAGAACTAGCATTAAATTGATCTTCAAAGGGCACATCAGCAGATAGGCCAAGGATTGCATGAGGTGTCTGTTCTACTGTCTCCTGGGATATTGAACTCTTTAGGGCACCAGCAGAGACCGTATCTGTTCTGGACTGCAAGCAGAGAGGAGGAACTGGCTGCTTCACTGTCACTGAACAGCTGTCACAAGTGAAAATAAAGCTGCTTGTGGTATGAATCAGATGCAAAGTAACTGCCTCTCCACAACCAGGGGAAAAGCAAAGAAGAAAGGGTGACTCTTCAATTGAGGCCTGCTGTGCTGCTTCCAAGCAGAAGAGGGTTGCACTGGGCTCCAGTGCCCAGGAAAGAGCTGTCAGATGAACTGGGCAACACTTGGGTCTACTTATACACAAAGACTAGATTAATTTTGTTCGTTTGTCCCCATCAATGCAATCAAAACAAACTTCCTTTAAGTAACTTCCTTGTCATTGAGATGAATGCCACATACAGCCATTCAAAAATCTTTTCTCATCAAATGCCAAAAATGGATCGATGCACTAAATGACAGAGAAATAACAAAACGGAGAAGCAACCAGTCCCCAAATCTTTCAAATCTTAACATCAAACCACTTTGATAAAAGCCTGATCTATCAAAAAGAAGAAAAAACTCTCTGAAAGTACAAAGAAAATATTTATAAAGAATTCAACTACTGAGCTCAACAAAAACAGCACACCATGCAATAAGAATGAAAGTACTTTCCCTCTTGTTCAGGGTGTGCAGCTTTCTGGTTGACTGGCCGAGCTCAAAGATCACTGCTTTTCACCTGCATTGCATTTAGTCTGTATTTTTGGTGCAAATCTCTAACAATAAGACCAGAAGAAAAAAAAGAAAAAAAAACCTTCAACCCCTAATGTATTTTTCCATCCTCACCTACTCAGAAAGTACAAGTACAGAAATATGCAGTGGTGGAAAAACCCATCACACAGTAAAAAAACAACCCACAGGACAAACTCATCTGTGAAGTAACTAACCACAGCGCTCTTCGAACTCCCACGTGCTGGCTTCTGCCATTTTCAGCCCTTCTCCACAGCTTTTTTTTCAGTC